GACAAATACACTGTTGGTGGTGTTTCAAATTGGTTCAACTATTCTGGGGGGAAAATTGTAGCTTTTTACAAAAGTCCATAAGCTGCACATACTCTCTGAACCAGTGAAGCCAACATCAAGCATTTTCCCCACTTTTTGTGGTAGCCAAGAACCAGAAGCAAAGAGGGTGCCATCAGTGATGTAATCGGTTAAAGAGTGACTATAAAAAGAGGTATATAAATGGAATGAGACATTACACTGTAAGAAATATAGTAACTAAAAAATTCAGAATTTGGCAAAATATGCATGAACTGAGGTGGAGGAAAGCAGAACTAATAAAACTGGCCAAAGATTGCTGTAATTATTGTGAAGGAAAATAACAGTGAAAAGCCTCAGAACTCTGATCAATGACTTCCAGTGAAGTCCAGTGACTTCAGAAGATAAGGCTATTTTTGCAGGGAGATAGATTATGCCTTTTCCACGTGTGAACCCTGCTCCCATGCCCGATACCATCTGAAATGCTATCACTAGCTCCATGTTAAAGTAAGAAATTTGGGAATTCCTAGGGAAGCAAGAGCCCTTCATTTCCCTTCCATGACTTGGTATCAGGTCTCCCCATTTCTTATCTCCCAGGGGTTTCCAAGCAGTTCCACTTTATAGAGCCTCAAGTTTCTGGAAAGTTCTTATAGCTTGTATAGCTCAGCTAGAACATTTTCGTTATGGGACTCTCAGTCTGTGCAACAAAATTTCAACTGAAGTAGTGGTGTTTTGTGGAAACAGATCTTCCCTAGATGCATATGCCCATTTCCCATTTTGAGCCTCCTCCCCCCTCTTTTTTAAACTCAGTCCCATTCTGAGACGTACAGCCATGGAGTACCCAGAGTAAGTTAAGTTCCACAGTTTTCACTCCAAACCAGAAGCCATCGCTGCAGTGTAGTTGTGTAATTAATGAAGTCCTCCAGCAGAGGGCTGTGCAGTCACAGTTCTACAGGTGGAAGAGCATCTTTTTTCTTTGGTAATGGAAGGAACAACAAAAAAAGGTTAACAAGCATTTTTCTTTTAAGTTAGGATGGCTCAGAAAAAGACTGCACCTCTGAAGGATGAAGAAAAGGCCACATGAAGTCAAGAGACTGCCAGGATAACTGGGTTCGATTTCAGCCTCAGAAACTAAACAACCATGTGATCTTGTACAAATCACCTAACCTTCAGTGACCTTCAGTTTCCACCTCCATGCAAAATAGAAACATCGCTTATACTACCCACTGGACACTACTACTATGGAGGGAAAGCACTTACAACCTAATTGTGCCACATATATCAGTTATTATTTAAGTCTAAGGCATCATGAAGGGTATGGTGTGGATTGAAAGGTTTTTCCACTAAATTCTTAATTACTCAGCAGCTTGAAATCAGTTGTTTTAATGAAAGCTTGTGTGATGTGTGTTCTTTTAAGAGGGTTTAAAGCCACTTTTTATACAACACTTTTGTGAAGCAGGTAGTGCAAATAGTCTTATTTTACAGATAATTAAAGGTCAGAGAGTGAAATGATTTGCAAAGCATTCTACAGTTAAGTGTCATACCTGTGTTGGAATTCTGGTTTCTATGTACTATGGCACATTGTTTCCCTACACTGGGAACAATAAATTTATGGACCTAGAAGTTGACAGGTCATATGAATCAGATATAGAAACCTGTTGAATTATTGGACAGGCATGCATTAAAGGGGCCTAAGATGTGCCAGAACTGTACTAGGTTTTGAGGTTATAAAGGATACAACTTCTGGGGAAGTGGGAGCCAGAGAAGGGAGCTGTGGCCTTGGCAGTCATTTTTTCACATATTAGTAATTCCTGACAGTATAATATATCTCATTATATTTATATACCATAATTTATAGTGTATAGAGCCATTCCTTAAGCAGTGGTATCACTGATATGAGTGGAGTCACTGGGCAAAAATTGTCATACCTTTTCCAGTAGTAATGGTAATATAATAATGATAATAGCTAACGTTTATGTAGTGCTTACTATGTGTCAGGCACTGCTAAGTCCTTTTTACAATTATTATCTCATTTGATCCTCACAACAACCCTGAGAGGCAGATGTTATTATCATCCCCTTTTTACAGATGAGGAAACTGAGGCAAACAGGTTAAGTGACTTACTCAGGGTCATACAACTAGTAAACATCTGAGGCTGAATTTAAACTCAGGTCTTCCTGATTCCAGGCTGGGCACTTTATCCACTGTGCTACCACTATATCCCTAAACTCTTGAGTGAACTATCATGGTAGGTAGCCTTCGGGGAGATTAGACAAATAATAGAGGAAATAAGTACCCCTGGTATAACCTAGGATGGCACTTCTTATATTCTCTAATTAAAAACTTGTAACAGTTGCCTTTTGATGGAATTTTCTTCCTATTTACAAAATGTACATCGACTATAGAGTATTATGTATTCAAGCTGTATTATAACATTAAAAACATATTTGGCTTCATATTTTAAAAAATTTTAATAACACATATACAGTATAATCTGGCACTGTGGCTACAATGATTTATAGGTGAATAATTCTGATTTTCATATATTATTTACATCAATAAGAAACAACTAAAATTCTCGACCAATGTTGAAATCCAATGTGATTTCAGCTTCTTGCCAACACATACAATATTGGTTTTGTGACTATGTACAAACGTTGTGCATACGTTCATTTTTGTATATTGTGCTTTCCTGTTTTTGCAATGACAAAGTGTGCCCACAGAAAGTTGGAGAGGTGGGAGTGGGAGGGAAATTCTGATGCAATAAGTGGAAAGTAACCAGTACAGCTTTCTTTAACCAAACATCTAGCAAATAAATCATATCCCACAGATTTAAGCTAAGGAAATGTCTAGTAATACTATTACATTTAAATATATATATATATATATATATATATATATATATATATATGTACAATATTATCAGTCTATACTATCTTTAACAAGATAGAAATATATTTGAAATGATAATTTATTATTTTCAATATCATATATTAGACCTTTTAATTCTTCAAAGTTTAAATACTTATTTATGTTTGAATTTTGCCCCAGTGTTTACCTTCCAGCTATGTCATTTTATGCTACACACATAATTTGTTAACTTAGTGTTTCAAACATTACTGGATGTCCCATAAAATTATTTAGACAAGGTTTAGATCATTTTTCTTTTCTTTTCTTTTTTTTATAGTTGATTTTTTTTTTATTAACACATATACATTTACTTGTCTTCTGGCTCGTTGAAGCAGTAGGTTAGACAACACTTGCCACAGTAATGTCTGTCAAAATGGCTAGCCAGAAAGATCCCAGCACCACATTCATCAGAAGGGCACTCTCATTGAAGGCGGCTAATCTTGCCATTCTCATCAACCTTATAGTACTTCAGAACTGCAAGCTTTACCTTCTTTCTCTCATGCTTGTTCTTTTTGGGAGTGGTATAAGACGACTTCTTTCTCTTCTTGGCATCACCATGAAGCCTCAGAACAAGATGGAGGGTAGATTCCTTCTGAATGTTGTAGTCAGACAAAGTTCGACCATCTTCCAGTTGCTTGCCCGCAAAAATCAATCTTTGTTGATCAGGGGGAATTCCTTCCTTATCTTGTATCTTGGCCTTGACATTTTCAATGGTATCAGATGGTTCAACCTCAAGCATGGTGGTCTTCTCTGTGAAAGTCTTCACGAAAATCTGCATCGTGTCACTGGGTCCACCCATTGATGGTGGATCCCCATTTATTTTCTTGAATAAGTGGTTTACAAATGAAATCATTTTAAAATGATTTAAAATTGGGGGGCACTCAGTTTAAAAGATTCCAGGGATGAATCATTATATAAAGTAGATAATCACTTTCTGATTCATTTATGTTGGATTTTCATAATTTGGTTTTGTTATTGTTGAGTACCTCCATATATGAAAGTAGATGATGTTCTTTTTATAACAGCAGTGTTACAACAACCACTTTGCATAAGATACTGGTTTTGTCCTAACACAATCTTGAAGTATTAGTTTCTTTAACATTATTACAGCATCAGATGCAAAAGTGTTTTTTTAAGTTTCACTTTCTTTGTTCTTGAAACTGTTTATTTTATAAAAAATAAAATCTCTAGTTAGCAAAATTTTCTCTGGCCAGTTAACAGATTCGAGAATCACAGAATCTTTCTGCTCGTTTTACAACTAAAAAGTGATACCAAGATCTGAATTAAATGTCCAGTTCTTTATCAAGGGAAACAGTAATGTGGGACCTAGATAATCATTACAAGATACACAGTTAGGCTGTAGCAAGGCAGCCACAATTTTTGGTTTTATTTAAGCTCCTTTCTCTGGAGCTTATGTTCCATTTATAAAATGGATACTTTTTTCTATAGGTATGTAGTTCTAAAGGCCTAGGACTAGTACATACTCAGGCTTAAAAGTAGATGGCATATACACCTAATTCTGACTTCTGCATTATAATACTAAGATCTATTCTCTTCATGGTTAACAGGACCAATGGTTTTTTTAAATTCTGTTTTGTTTTTACCATCTGTAGTAACTTAAGCTACTTTACAGAAAAAAAAAACATAGAGGTGCGAAGGTCCTGCCTCAGAATTGGCCAAGGCTTGCCACACACTGAAAGTCAGGGTAGGTGGACAGCCTAAGGTGGCCTTTATTGAAGAGTTATCAAGGCACAACTGAACAGAGCTTATTTGAGTGTTAGAATCTATGTTGCACCCATCAGGACTGGTAAATACAGTAGCTTGCATGTATAAATTAAAAATGCCTTGGCTACTTAATGCTAGTTTCTTCTGAGAAGCAGCAAGATATATGGCAGGAAAAGTACCAGACTTGGAGCCATAAGCTATGGCTTTGAGTCATAGCTCAGATGCTTAATAGCTAGTTGACATAGCTGTTTTAAGCCTTAACCCCATATGTACGAAGGAATCATACCCAAACTACCTACCTCATTGGAGCAGTTTTGAGGAAAGCATTTTGCAAATTTTCAAGTGCTACATAAATGTAAAACTTCTTTTATTATTTAGTGACACAGTTTCTGCTGGAATTATTTGATCAACTGCAGTAAGAATGACTCTCTGGCATATCTACCTCAGTTCTATCAATATCCCACAGTTTATGAATAAGATCTTAAAATTATATGGATAACTGAGTTGTTTTGGTGGAATGCAAGATAAGCAAAAATATAGGACCGTTGATTATCTATTATCAATTATCAAGCTCAGTTATCGATCATTGTCCAGCTGGCTCCTATGCTGGAGTTGTTTAAAAAGGGCAGGGCACTTAGAGCAAGTCTCAGATGGATAAGTGCCCGAGTCTTTTTCTTTAGCTACATTCCAGAGCCAAATCTAAGTTCCTGGATTGGTTGTTGCTTTGTACTTTACACTGAAAAGCTTTTTAGAACTTAAAGTGACCCCAGAAGACATTTAGCCCAACACCCTGATTTTATGGATGAGCTAACTCTGAACTGGAAATCTAGGTGGGTTTTGGACTGACAAACAATTTATACATGCAAAATCAAAGATATTCTTACCACCCATACTCTAGTCATGGCATTCATCATGGGGGTAGGGACACAGATCAGCCAAAAAATACAACAAACTTGGAGCTTTTAGAAAATCTTAATTCAGAAAGGGCAGAAGGGAAAAGCTACAGGAAAGCAAAAGCTGCTTAGGAGAGCTGTCCAGTGGCCTAATTTTTTAACTGTGATAACTAGTCACCTAAAAGCAACAATGCCTGAAGCTCAAAGAGGGGAGAGGGGTCACCAGGATGGAGGAAAGGAGTTCTGATAGGAAAGATCATAGATTTAGAGTTACAAGGGACCTCAGAGGGCATGCATTTAAACCAACCCCTTTATTTGACAGCTTAGGAAATGGAGGCCCAGGGAGGTTTAATGATTTCAGCAAAATCACACAGGTAGTAAACATTATAGGAGGGATTTGAATCCCAAACTTCTCTAACTCCAGAGTCACTATTCATTCCACTGTACCCATGGTATCCAGGGTAAACTTCATCTTCACAATTTCTTCGCTGTGCTACTCACATGGCCTTTTGCTATAGGCTGCTATGTCTCACCTCGTTTGCATGTTTGTTCAGATTGAAGAGATACAGACTGACTGTCTTGATGTTAAAAGCTCCTCTATCTTCCTTTTTGCAAAGGTAAGCAGCAACTTTGGGACACTTTATTTTCCAGTAAACTTCTGAAAATAGGGCTGCATTTTGCTAACACTCGTGGGCTAGGAAATGCTTAGAATTTCTGGCACAATGTATTCTGTCAATATAAACTCTGGTCCAGCCAGTTTAAAAACTATTTTTTTATATAAAAATCCCCCCAACTTTCAAAAAAGCAAGTCTCCCCACAAACACACAAAAAAATTTTCTATTCCCAAACTGGCCAGCAGCTTCTCTTAAAATAAAATTTGTAAAGTTATTTCACTCATAAAATTATAAAAAGAGTTTTTGACATTTGAAAACATCAGTCATTCAAAGGATTTCCATCTACGACTGTGATAGAAGACTGCAGCAATTCAGCTGTTTAGGTCTGCAGTCTCATCAATTTCATCTGGATTTTTGGCCATTTTCTCATATTTCCTCTTGAAAAAGCCAAGCTGCAAAAAAAACAAACATAATATTCAGATATTAAAATATATCTTTGGAATGGGTATACATTTACCACCCTACCCCCAATCTGCAATCAATTCAATCTGACAAACCTTTATTAAATGTCTAATTTATGCAAGGTGCTGTCATCATTCCTCATCCCTGGGGATACTAAGACAAAAACAAAACTTGCTGCCTTCAGGGAGCTTAAATTCTATTGAGGGGGGGCTGGACCTCCCCTGTTCTGTTTAGGAAGACACCAGAAATAGCTGGGAGTATCAAGGAAAGCTTTACAAAGGAAATAGCATTTGAGCTGAGTTTGGAAGAAAAAGAGGATCCTGAGAGGGGAAGATAAGCAGAGAATTAATGAAAATGCATTTATTAGGCAAGCATTTACTATATGCTAGGCACATGATATACTCTGAGAATGCCAGTTAAAAAGTAAGACCATCCTGTAGAAATAACACATCCAAAGAATGCTGGCCCGGTAAGGGAATTGTGATCTGGGGTGCCCCTTTCCAATAGTAATATTGACTGGATTACTGTGCCCAAAGCAAGAGGAAGAAGGTTGGGGTTGGGAATGTGTACACTGGCATGGCAGGTGATCAGATAGACAACTTAGATAACTGGATGGGACATGAAGCATGGTCAGGTCTGTGAAAAATGGGCTAGGTGCATTTGTCACTCACTCCTTAATCAAGACATCTCAACTCCAGAGTGGAAGTTCCAAAGCTGAGTGGATTAATTTCCCACTGAGTTGGGGGTATAGTTTCTGGGAGTCTGGTCTGTGGGTAATATTCCAGGTGGAAGAAATGGTCAGATAGAAAAGAAGGAAGTGTAGTCCAGCAATGGGGAATGAAGGCTGGAGGTGGATTATCAGGTTTGGTGCAGGCTGAATTGTTCAGTTTGGCTAGAATGTAGAGTTTGTGAAAAGGACTGGTATGAAGTAAGTGGGAGCCAGATTGCTGAGGGCTTTAACTGCCAGGCAAAGGAATTTATACACTATAGGATCATAGAATCACTTAGAATTAAAAGGTCATCTAAGTCCAGTCTCCTCATTTTACAGATGAAGAAACTAAGGCTAAGTAACTTGCCCAAAGTCACACAAATACTGAGTGATAAAGCCCGGATTTAGAACCCAGGTTCTCTGACCTCAAATTCTTTCCCTTGAAAAACTTTATCCTATAGCTACTCTAGCTTTTTTTTAAGCATGGAGTTGACATGGTCAGAGCTGTGTGTTAGGAAGATAATTTTGGCTATGCAAAGGTTGTACTGGAGAGGGGAAAGACTAGGAGTAGAGAGAATCAATTCAGGGGCTCTAGTACATAGTGTCCCAAAAGTCTTAGTGCAGCTTTCAGTTTTCATTACCGAAGGCTACACTAAGACTTTTGAGATATCCTATATTTGTCTAGTAAGAGGTGATGAAGGCCTGAATTAAATGTGTGCATGGAGAGAAGGGGGCAGACAAGTGAACTGTTATGGAGTCAGAATCAATAAGATTTGGCATCTGATTGGATAATTGGGATGAAGGATAGGGCAAAGTTCAAGGACTGACTCAAAGGGGGAAAACCTGGGCTACAGGAAGGATTGTAAATTTCTGAACAGAAAATGGAGTGTTTAGGGTAAGGGCTTGAAAAAGTAACCCAGAATTCAATATACAAACAAAAGAATTTTAACTGTTTAGGCAACTTTCATGCAATATAATACACATTATGACCTAAATGTCAAAACTAATGTATTTACAAATTGGCTAGCCTATATGCAAATTTGCATATAAATACCTAAAATATATGGAAAAGTAAATTAGAGTTTGGCTGAACATCAACATTGATTTTGAAAACACTTTTATTTAGCTGAAAGACAACTGACTTATTAAAACAAACATTGTTCCAAACTCCATGAAAAACTTTATTTTGGTTGAAAAGTGTTAATCACTAAATTCAAAAATTATTAATTATTTTTAAATCATTGTTTTGGGCTTAATGAATTTTCTTTTTATTAACTAAGTTCTATTTGAATTCTAACTCTGACCTTGGTTAGGAAGCAGCTGCCAACTTGCAAATAAGCTACTTTTTTTGCAATTAAGTTCATTTTTCTTATGCACTTTTATATGTAGAATTACAGAGTTGGAGGGGGCTTTAGAAATCATCTATTTTAGCACTCTCCTTTTACAAAGGAAAGAAAATGAGGTCTGGAGAAGTGAAGTCAATTTCAGTAGGATTCTGTATCCCAATGGCCAGTTATTTATTAGATGATGGAACAGAAACACAAAGAGAAATATAACACCCTTGAGAACTATGAGGGATGGATAAAAAGATCAACACTAAATTAGTTTTAAAAAGACATGAAAAACTGTGGAAAAAAAAGTTCTAGACCTTTGTGTGAGAAGCATATGAGCAAGGCAATATATCAAAGAATGCTATACTTGAGTCATATTACATGAGTTCAAATCTCAGCTCTGCTACTTACTACTTACTACCTTCATGAGCTTGACCAAGTCACTTACCCTCAATGAGTAAGTTTCAGTTTGCTAATCTATATAATCAGGAGATTGGGCTGGATGACCTTTAATTTCAGTTCCAGCTATATAGCTATGATCTTTTTTCTTTCAGGAGAGATCAGATGGCTTTTTAAAATTTATTTTTTGAACTTTAAAGATTAGGTTTAGGTGAAGAAAATAAAACAAATCAGAAAACCTTGGTGGGGGTAGGAGCGGAATACCACCAAATCCCACAGTCCAAAGGATGGTGATTTTAGAACATAATAAATCTCTCAGGTGGTTATAAGTCTTCAGATTACAAATCATTTCCATAGAAGATATCTTTGTATGAAGTTTACATATCTCTAGGTGCTAGCTGCTAATCAATCCTTGTACCTGATCTAACAGAGGGAGCAAGAAGGGAAGTGGAGAGAACATCTTCAAAACAATTATTTGAAAGGAGAATGGAAATGAAGAGAACAAACCTTACATTACCAACACCTATGACAAATGGGTTGTAACTTTTCAAGTGTTGATATACCTTCTAAATCTTCACTTCCTAGCTAATGGCCAATCCATGACAATTACTTGTATTTAGTAATACCTGAGTAGATAACTTTCTGGCCTTAGACACTTAGTAGCTGTGTGACCTTGGGCAAGTCACTTAACCTTGTTTACCTTAGTTTCCTCATCTGTAAAATGGGCTGGAGAAGTAAATGACAAACCACTCCAGGATCTTTACCAAGAAAACCCCAAACAGGGTTACAAAGAGTTAGACATAACTAAAATGAATGAGCAACAAAAAAAAAATTGATACCCTATACAGTTACCTTAAATTAGCAATTTTTATCTTCATCGGTGTTTTTTTTTAATTTTGTAAGGAGATGTAAGATTATATATTCTGTAACTCCCCCCACCACACACATGCACATACACATACAGCTAGCCATTCATTGTTTACCTTCCACAAAACAGTAGTTAGGGCTAACAGCAAGAGAAGCCCAGCGATTATACTTCCAATGATAACTCCTATTGGTATTTCAGCTTTTTCATCAGGCTTCATTATTGTAACTGGAATCTGAAAATACATATTAAAATTAGAATCGTATAATATCAGACATTCTTTGAATAACATAATGGAGATAGCTCAGCCTAATGCTCTCCCTTTTACAGGTGATGAAGCTGAGGCCCAAAGAGATTAATAAAAGATTTGTTCCAACAGGTAGTGCAGTAGGTTATCTCCTTCAGAGTGTAATTTGAAAGAATACCCCTTTACAAATCCCACAATGTGACATTTTGGTGACTCACTTAACTGGAGAGGGCTCTGGATTCCCAAAGGGTGTTTGTCAGAGCACAAGCTTTGGCAGGTTTGACATCAATCTGGAAAGACTTTAAGCATAAATTCAATAACAGACTACATATTTGCCTCTCCTCAAAATGCCTGTCTGGTTTACTTCAGAATATTTGTAATTAGAAGATGAACTCTTTTGGCTAAAGCAACTGTGAGAAATTAATTATTTCTGTCATATTTAATAACTAACTATTGAATCAGAATCAAGATTTTTCTCCTTTTCTACTTCCTCATCCAGAAACCAACCAATGTAGGAAATCTCTCTTAAAGATTTACCCAGGCCAAGATCTAAAAAGACAGTAAGAGACATTTTAAGTTTGGGCCAGTGAGTGTATTCCTGCTCATTGGGTTTGTTCAGACAGGTCTGGGAAAATGTTGATTCTTCCTGTCTTTCAAGAATATAGCCCACCTCCCCTTGTGTCAACTAATCAGAGTTGATTGGTACTCCCCAGGAACACCTACTCTTCAAAGGGCATATAAACTGTGAGCCCACCACCATTAGGGGTCTAAGACCATCCTTTTATTAAGATGCCGGTATTATTAATAAAATGATTAAATTATCCAGAAACTATGTCTCTCTGAATTTTTTAATTGTCACACAACTCATTAACTATCTTTTACACAGATGAGCTGCAATCTGCATAGGTGAAGGGAATATCTACACTGATGAAATTATAGATACTTGGTGTATAAATTTGTTTAAAGTACTACTAAGGACACAAATTTTTATTTTTAAACTTCAGGTTCCTCTAATATCTATATGAATGAAAGAAACATAACAAATAATAGAAATGCCAATGTTCAAAAGTGTCAAATAAATTGGTTATTTGTATGATAGAACAGACATTTTTGAAATATATGTCTGTCACTGTAGAAGGAGCATTAAGAAACCCATATTAATTAAAAATATATTACATATGCACATTTACACACTACTTGATTGCAAGGCTCTTGTGGGGAGAAACCATATCTTATTTATCATTGTGTCTTGCCCCAAATCTTAAAACAGTATGCTGCAAATGTTAGGGACTTCATGTTTGCTGAATGAACAAATAAATGAGTGGCGGTATGGGATGAGAGGAGTAAAGCAAATGAACAAAAGCTCTTCTGTTTAGAGGAGAATTTAGCAAAATTCTGAATTTCCAAAACATTAATTACTCTCAGCTTTCTGATTCGAGACCGCTTACTTTTTAGGACTTGGAACATTTGCATGGATTTAATAGCTCATTGCTCACACTGGCCTCTTCCTCTAGTGAGCTTGACATAATGTAAGGTGTAGCATTTTGCTAGAGCAATCTTTGTGAGATCTGTCATGGAATGATTACTCTAATAGTTTTAACAGGTAAAGTTTTGTAATCTGTACTTTTAACACTCCTTTAAAAAATTTATGAAATCAATTACAACCCTCTCTTCTACAAAAGACAGTCAAAAGGAGGATAAGAGACAGGGGCATTATCCAATTCATTTATGTAGTTAAAATTGAGTAACACTGTGAACAGAAAACAGCTTTTTGTGGTTTTGTGTGTAGGCTGGGTTTCTTGTTAAGAGCTCTTATGGTTGTTTAATTTCTTCAGAAAACAAAAAGTGGAGCCTTTGATACAAACACCTGAAAAGCTGCTAAATAAAAATAATTTGTTTCCTTCTCTGTAAAAATGAGGTTGGACTAGATGGCCTCTAAGTCTTTGATTCTATGATTTCTCTCTCCTTTCCTCAAAACATTCTTAGAATGACACCTGGACAAGGTCTGGGAGGTCAAGAGAAGGGATGGGATCCAGGCTCTGGTAGAATGAGTATAATCAGCAAGTAGAAGGACTGTGTTTCTAGGAGGTAGGAGGGAAAGAGAAAATGTATGATGATGCCGAGAAATTGTGAATGGAGAGGATTATTTTATTTAGCAGATTTTTAAATATTTGTCTTAAAAAGACTCATGCATCTTCAATCTCTTTTCCATTGACTCCTTCCCATTTGCCAACCAATGTGTTCAGGTCATTCCATTCCTAAGAAAACCCCATTCTTGCCCCTTTTACTTTATTCAGCTACCATTTCATCTCTTTATCCCCTTTCACTGTCAAACTTCTTGAAAAAGTTACCTGTACCTCATTTCTATACTTCCTCATGACTCACTCTTTCCTCAACTCCTTCCAAACCGCTTTCTATTTGTAGCTCTCTCCTGAAACTATATCTCAAAATTCTGCCTAACTGCCAATTCCAATGGCCTTTTTGCCCCATTCTCATTCTCTATGACCTCTGCAATATTTCACACTCCAGACTACTTTGGATGTGTCTTCCCTTGGTTTCTTTAACACTGTAATCTCATGGTTCTTCTATTTCTTCTTTCTCCTCCACTAGCTTTTGTGCACTTAAAATAAGTGTTCCTCAAAGTTTAATTCAACATTTATTAATCACTCACCATGTTTAAGACAATGTTCAAGGCACAGGGGATACAAAGCCAAAAATTTAAACATAAACAGTTGCTGTTCTGAAGGACTTTACATTCTACTGGAGGGGATGAGACTGAACACATAATACACATATAGATCAGTAAATGCAAGGTCATTTGAGGAAGAAGAAAACATAAGACTCATACGTATAGAGCAAGAAGGGATCTGAGAAGGCCACCAACCTTCCTCGATTTAGAAGTGAGGACCCAGAATCTCAAACAGGTTCACTGAATTGCCTAAGCTCACACAGTTAAGTTAAGCAGCAAAGCCAGGTTTTGAATACGCTTGGGGGAATGGGGAATGCTCCAAGGAGAAAGAGATGCCTGGAGGAAAGATAAAACTGCTAGGCCTTGAGGAAGGAGAACATTCCACTTAAGGGTTCGCGAAAGTCTGTGCAACTGCATGGGAGCTAAAGTCACTGAAACACCAGCTCCAAAAGTTTCTCCTACAGTGAATACAGGATATGTTACTATCTCTTTGGAGAGGCTTCAGATACAGTTTACCTTTCATTTCATAAGGAACCTGTGGAGAGATGGTAGTTCAAATGCTATTCTGTATTTGTTTTGTTTTTGCTAGGCAATGGGGGCTAAGTGACGTGCCCAGGGTTACACAGCCAGTCAAATGCTATTCTGGAAAGAAATAAGAGTAATAATTTGAAAGAAACTATGGGAAGACAGAGAATAGGGCTAAAGGGAACTTTTTTTTTGGAAACATGTATTTTAATCCTTCATTTTATTCATGAGAGAATTCTTGAAAAGAAATTTTAATTGATGTCCTGAGTGAACTGAATGGTGATCAGATCTGAGAAGTCAATATAAAGTGATGAAGTAGTTAAAGTAGAGATGATTCTTGGTGTGATCATTCTCAGAGCTAAAACATTGTAAAATTATAAGTCTGAATTATCATTTATTATATTATCAATAAATTGTATAGCCAGTAACTTTGGTGTTTAAGTCTGGGGAATTAGGGGTTTTGATATATTGAAAGAGGCCATAGCATAGTATATCTACAGCTGAAGGGATCCTCAGAGGCATCTAGTTCAACCTTCATATTTTACAGATGAGGAAACTGAAGCCCAAGGAATTTTAGTGATATGTCCCATAGTCACATATTTATGGGGATAGAATTTTCTTCAGTTTATAAATAAACTGCTATGGGGGTTCAGAGCATATTGAGAATGGCGGCATTGTTAGTCATTAGTGAATATATATATATATATATCCAAAAATACTCCTGGAATGCAGGGTCAGGAAACCTGAGGCCTCAAAACCACATGTGGCCTTCTAGGTCCTTGGGTGAAGCCTTTTGACTGAGTCCAGGTTTTACAGAACAAATCCTTTTATTTGAGGGGATTTGTTCTGTGAAGTTTGGATCCCTTTACGATGAGAATATATATGGTAATGAGTTAAGTAACAGGATGAAGTGTGACTACCCTATGCAGTCTACAGGTAGGTTTAGTTGACCCTAGAACCCTGCTATATTAAGTTGGGGAACAATAAGAAGTCTAGTTTGTTTATAAAGGACCATAATAATATAAAATGAGATGGCTGAGGTAGGTAGATGTGGCCCTTCAGACTTGCATAGATTTGATTGTGTCATTCCTCTGTTTAAAAATATTCAATAAATTGGAATTACTCTTTTTGATAAATGTCTGTCCAAATCCTTTGACTACTTATCCCCTGGGGAATGACTTTCAGTTTTCTATATTGATGTTAACTTCTTGTTTTTCTTGGATATTATACTCTTATCAGAGATATTTCATGCAAAGATTTTTTTTTAACAATTGTTTGCCTTCTTTTCATAGCTACATAAAAGCGTTTAAATGATCTATTTTATTTTATTACTTCCATTCCTTGTTTCGTTAAGAATTTGTCACTAGCCACAGCCACTGAAGGAGTAAATCTCATTCTCTTACAATTTTTTGTTTATGATGTGATCTTTTATATTCAGGTCATGTACCCACTTTGAGCCTATTGTGGTATATGACATAATACGCTGTTCTAACCCTAATTTCTTCTAAATAGCTTTCTAGTTTACCCAGTAGTTCTCGTCAACTAAGGACTTCTTCCTCAAGTAATTTATGTTTTCAGGCTTACCAAACACTGGATGGATTTCAATTTTTAAAAATAAGTTGGTTACTTTGTTCCACTTATCTACTTCTGTTTCTTAACTAATACCAAATAGTTCAAGTATTTGAAAGATTGCTCCAAATCACTAGCAAAAAAGAAAAATGCAAATCAAAATAGCCCTAAGGTTTCACCTTATACCTAGCAGATTGGCAAAGGT